GTGTGGGCGCAGTCGTTGGCGGCCCCAGGTGGCCGGATGAGGTGAATGCAGGAGGGTGGGCCCAGTGGCTCACCCTCCCAACTACAGCTTTGAATTTGCTGCCAAAACAGTGTGTCTGTCCACCGCGTTTAGGGAAAGTGATCCGGACTTTTCGCGAGATGATTGGTGCAGAGTGGCTGGAGGCTTGATGGTTGACTGTGATAGTTTCAGGGCTGGGTACTCAGAATCGCGGCCACAAACACTCAAGGCTTCAGCAGCGAAACATGCGCAAGTGTTTTGATCAGCAGCTGGGCATCGCACTCAGCTGGTAAAAAAAAACAGCACATGAGCATCAACAGGCTTAGGTGAACGCTCAGCATGGGCACTTGATCAATTCTCTGGAGGTCATTTCCCCTTCCTAACAAAGCCCAGCCAGCCTCTGAGAGCATGATGACATTCTATGACACTTGCAGCAGAGTCACGTGGATTTAGGGTTTTTGAACCTTGCGGTAGAAAGGTTACAGAACAAGATTCCAGAACGGGCTTTGCAAGGTCATACGCTTGGACAGATAGGTTCGGTTTCAGGTGGGGTTTCTTCTTTGGAGGACTTAGGCTCCTGCGTTGCCAGGGTTCTGACGCCAATTATTTTTGAGTTGCCACATCACATACAGAATTTAGCACAGGTACAGGCAAAGAACAGATTTCTTGGATCCACTGTCGAGAACTCTCGGTACCATGCATGGCTTCGCTGCGTTGATTTGCGCAGATTCTCATAGCCCAAGCAACATGATTCATCACGTCCGTGGAGCATGTTCCTGCCCAGGGGTACATCACCACACATAGCGTACATGAACTAATGATGTAGCTTCCTGGACGTGATGGCGATGTGTTCCACGCTGGTGGTTCTGCTGGCTTGGTCATTGGCCTCTGCAACGTGGGAGGTCCGCCTTTGTAAGAGACGCGTAGTTTTGTAACGAACGGACTTGAAGGATGGTTTGCATGGAAACTTGCATGCGGAGGGAGCATTTCACTTCAAACAAGCCTCATACAGATTTCTGCTGCAAGCAGTCTTTCGCAATGCTCGGCCAAATTTTAGTGAATCGGCATCCAGAATTCAACTCAAAACGCCGTCCGACTAACCATTTTAAAGGCCCCGTAGGGCTACAGCGCCCCAGGCCAAAATGTATCTCGTTCTGCAGCCCCTAAGCTCATGAATCTGCATGTAAGTTGTTGAAGTTTTGAAAATTCTAATTGCATCAATCAGGCACACATGGCAAATAGCTCTGGTGGAGCCGGGCAACACCAAAAAAACCCAGCTGCGGCCACAGGAGCTCAATCCTTCCAACGCGCCTTCAGCGAGAGCTTCGCATGTTGCCGTATGGGATGACGATCAAAGCCGCATGCTTATGTTCTCAGGCAGCTTCGCATTAAACAAAGATTGCTGCCGAGTTGTATGGTGTTCCAGATTGAGCTGTGGATGATGAAGTTCTGAACCACCAACTGCAGAAGCTGAACCGCACAGCTTGCGTGTCTGGTTTCTTAGATTCCTGGCCCATGTATCCATCATTTGGAAATTGTAGGTCCATGATTGTACGGCATATCACAGGGAGATGCTCGCACGCCTTCCTAGTCATTTCTCATGGTTCGAAAACCTTTCGCGCTGAGGAATGCAGGAATGCAGGAAGGAAGAAGTGTAGACAAATTCACTCAAAACTAGGCACATGAAGAATCCACCTACCTGGTTGAAAGGTCCTCTGCCCAAATGTCTTTTTGAGTTGCAGGGTAAGGGGTGTGGAGTCATGGAACCCAATGACCGCGAGTACTTGATACCTCTGATTTATGTATTTGGTGCGTGAGTGCGTCTCAGTCAGTCCGCACCCCACTCCTAGTCTGATAGCCTATCGAACCAGTTTGAGTGCGCGAAAAATTGCGAATATTACCTTTCAAGTTTCTCAGACCTTATCATCATCTGAAGTCGACAGCTCCTATGTTCATCCCTGCTGCAAGTGGGGCCAGGCAACAGCGGGCAGAACGTGTTCACTGATCTGCAGGCATACGATCCTAACAAGAGCTCTTGGTCCGACATCACGGGCGAAGCGCAAAGGACTGGGTTGCTGTTAAGGAACTTAAATTAAGTTACCATATTGGGGAAACCCTATTAATTACTGTATATACCCATTATGGTAACTTTATTTAAGTTCCTTAACAGCAACCCAAAGGACTGGAGTGCAGCAGAGTGCCGCAGCCTGGGTCTCCAGCTCCAAGGAAATGTTTATCCTGGGTGGAAGTGGTGGTGGGACGAACTATGGAGACCTTAGTAGCTAGGTACCCCAGTAGTACATTTTTCCGTTTTTATTTTGGGGCTGAACATTAGGAAAAGGGTACCCTTATCATCAAGGGCTTACAGGGGAACCTAATAGTAGTTTCCATTCTATTTTCCATTATCCTTATAACCCCGTTATAACCCCAATATAAATATACCCTTCCAAGGTAGCTATTTCAGCAACTGGGATCAGTGGAACGATGATCATGCCAACTTTGCCTCGGCCAGATATGCCGCTTCACTAGTTTTCAACTCCAATGACGACACCCTGATCCTGTTCCTGGGTAGGGTTTAGGGGTTAGGGTTTAGGGTTACATTTTTATGTAAACCTGGGCCCAACATCGATTTGAAAATGATAATTTTTAATAGCATTTCAACAAGAACCCAGGTTCGGCGGCATAAACTACGACAACCAGGATGAAATATTGTCTTCGTTGCACATCTATAGCCTCTCCGACTATCGGTGGTCGGAAGACCCAATTATCGAGTTGACACCGGAGGGACGTTACAGCCATGTCGCTGCTTGGGACTCTTCTGGGAAGAAGATGCTTATATTCAGTGGATCAGGCAGCAGCAAGAGCGCGTTGTCTGACTTGTGGGAGTTTGATTATGACAGGCTGACCTGGGGCCTGCTCTCACCTGGTGGGACCGTCCCATCAGCCCGCTTCGGAGCCGCTGGCGTTTGGGATCAGCCAAGTACCTCCATGTTCGTTTTCGGAGGCGAAGACGGGTCTTCTTATTACGGTGACTTGCAGCAATATGACTTGACAGCGAATACATGGATCTCGCATGGGACCGGGGCTGTTGCACGAGCATATCACACAACGGTCTGGGATGGCAGTCAGATGTATGTCTTCGGTGGCTGGAATGGCGAGACCGGTACGAGCTTCAACGATCTATGGACATATCGCACAACGACATCTACCACCATCACGACCGGGACGTCGACATCCAGCACGACCTCCTCAACTTCCTCCACGTCGACGTCATCATCTTCCACCACAAGTGTCTCAACCTCATCAACCTCTTCATCATTGACCCACAGCACATCCACCACATCCACCACATCCTCAACAACTGCCACATCAACATCATCAAGTACCTCCGTGTCATCATCTGTCACAACGACTCGTTCCCAAACAACCTCCTCGACCAAGACAACTTCTGTTACTGCCAGCTCTACCAGTACTTCGACTACCACTAGCAGCACTTCCAGTACTTCGTCGACAAGTTTGACACGCACGTCAACCTCGACATCCACATCTCAGTCACAGACGTCAACAAGCACTATTACAACATCATACTCCTCAACTAGCACACAGACAACAACTGAGACAAGCTCTTCGACGTTTAGTTTGACAAGCTCCTCTTCTAGTTTGACAAGCTCTTCCTCTAGCAGCAGCTCTACGTCCTCCTCGAGCACCAGCAGTAGCTCGAGGTCCTACACCAGCACTAGCAGCAGCTCGAGGTCCTCCACAAGCACGAGCAGCTCAACAGAAAGCATGACACCTACATCAACCAGCTCCGCGACGGCAACCGTAACTTCCGCAGACCTCTCTGCCGCGGAGTTCGAAGCTCTGGAGCGGCAGCGCAGGGAGCAGGCCGCCTTGGCATTGATGCATGGATTTTGCAGTACGTTTTGTACTGGAAAACCTTTCAAAGCCCCCTTCTGCATGTTGAGAACTTTACTGGCTCAGCCGAGGAGGCAGATTGCTCTCTCAGAGGACGCCCTGGTACTCTTGGCATGTAGTAAGGGTCAAGGGAATCAGTATTTTCGCTCAGCGCCTCCTCCCTCGTCTCCTAAGCCACCTCCAATTATTACTGCCACCTGGTGGTGGTGGCGGTGGCGGCGGGGGTGGTGGTGGTGGTGGTGGTGGTGGCGGCGGTGGTGGTGGTGGTGGTGGCATTGCTGCTCCTGCTGCTATTCCGAGTAGCGCTGCTCTTCACATTCTGCCTCCTGCCCCCCCTGCCCCCTGGTACTGCTGCCACTGTGGCTTGCCGCCACTGTTTCCAATGCTTCCACTGCTGCTGCCGCTGCTACCACCATTCACCACCGTGGCTACCACCATTGCAGCTGCCGCTACCCCTCACCCCTAATCCTTCCCCACACCGACCCCGGCCACAACCACGACCACAAACAGGAGCGCTGCTGCTGCTGCTACTGCTGCTGCCAGTAATAGTATTAGTCCAAGTACGATGATCACCAGCAGTATTGAGAAGCAGCGGAGAAAGGATTCGGCAATTCAGCAGCTCCTGGCAACGCTTCCGGCCATGCCGTCTGCAGGCCCTCAGCAAATCCAACTGGAGACAGAAGCTGGGTTTCAGGATTTAGGGCATTTAGGGCTTGTGTAGGGGATGTGAGGGGTTGTTGCGAGGTGAGGTTTCAGGGGGGGCTGTTTAAGAAGGGCCCTCAAGTTTTTTCTTCTCCGGTCTTCATCTTCAATAATCGACGTGAGTGCAAGGAAGTTCTAGTCTGGTTCCCTATGAAGTCAAGGGCATCCCATTTTTTTAAAAGTCCTTTTCAAACGCTGCAGAACATATTCAGCATGACTGGAGCCCTGGCTGAGGAGAGCGGCGTCATTCAAGCCGTGGCTTTCCGTCCAGAGGACGTTTTGGTTCAGAAGCTCTTGGGTGTAGGAAATTCGTGTTGCCTGTGGAACCTTTGTTGAAAACTCCATGGCACAGGACTTTGATGGATCTTGGATTTTAAGCAGGACTCGTATGATGCCTTTTCCCAAACGCTAAGCTCCAAATTAGTGAGGACGTCCATGCCCAGAAAGACATGGCAGTCCAAACATTCTTGTTTTATAGGTACGAGTAGGGTGTAGTTGGGGTGCAGTTTTAGGACGTAGAAGACCCTTCAATGGTTCGGGAATTTTAAGTAATGATGCGGGAGGGGGGCATATGTGGTTCTACATGGGCCCCTATTATTAAGTCATTGTCAGTGGTTTTGAGCTAGCTGATTGTCACTGTTGCTGGTATACTAAACTTGGATGCTTCGAGTTTGCTTTTCAATGCCTGCCAAGTATCGAAGACTCGTATGTTACTGGGTGGTTGCCACTCAGAGAGCAACGGGTTGTCTTCACCACGTGTGTAGGCGAAACGTTTTTCCTGCATCACGCTCTACCGTAAGCGGCATCATTGCCTTCGCAGGTGCTAAATGCTTTATGTGAAGCCACATTTTCGTTCCCGAAGGGACCCAATGTTAGGAGCATAGTGGGTATAATATCAGATATGTAAATCATGTATGGTTTTCTACGATCCCAAAAGACACCCAGCGGCCAGGATTTGGGTTCGGAGTATAACATCAGCGGGACGCTCGCGCTACCTCGGGTTGAGGCTGTTTTCTTGGGATATGATTTTAAGGCTGTTGTGGTTTCGGGGATTTTTGCTTTTTGGGAGTTCCGGTTTAGGGTCTGATGATTGTTGCTGCTGCTGTTGTTGCTGGAGCAGCTGCTGCTTGCTTGTTTATGTTATAAGTAAACCACAAGGATTACGGATCTCTTGTTAATTAGTTAATGAATTTCCAAAGAAGTTTACTGCAAGGGCTGTTGCTTTTTGTGAAAATGTTTTGGCATGGCTTGGTGCCCATAAGGTTTCAGAGAATCGTACTTGGCTCTAGTATGGCCACCTATTGGAGATCGGATGCTGCACCGAATGTTTTTGGAGCCCGAAGAAGCTTGTGTTGGCAAATGCAAATGGCAAATATGGCTTTCAACATGTTGAGACCTTTCGGTCCTGTTTGTAGCTCGCCCCGGCCCCTTGCCCCGATTCTCACGAAAAACCCTGCCGCGCATTGAATTCAGATTTGGGGTCCAGGGTTCAGGCGCACTTCCCCTCAACCACAAAGAAGTACAGGGTTTATTGGCTGAGCATTGAGGGCTGTGCGAATTTCACTGACATGAAGATGTTTTCGTTGCTCTAAGTACCATAAACCTCCGATTGCCCAACATCCCTAAATCCTAAAGGCCCCCTCAATTAGATGGACTATGGAATCGGCCAACATCATAATAAGATCCCCATATACCCAAGATTCTATCTACTTAAGTGGGACTATACCCTAAACCCCCAAACCCTAAATCCCTAAACCCTAAACTCTAAACCGTAAATCCCTAAACCTAAACCCTAAATCCCTGAACCCTATAGATCCTGGCTGAGGATTCCTGGCTTGGAGTCCATGTCCGTGCCTGCGGAGGTCCTGGCTCAGGCCGCTGGTTCCAGCGGAAGGCGCTCTCTTGCGGTTTAGGGTTTTGGGGGTTTAGGGTGTTTAGGGTATTTAGGGTTTAGGGTGTTTAGGGTTTAAGGTTTAGGATGGTTTAGGGGATATAGGGTTTAGGGTGTTTAGGATTTTTTTAGGGTTAGGGTGTAGGGTTTAAGGTTTAGCGGGTTTAGGGTTCAGGGTTTAGGGTTGCTTTCTGGGGCTACCACTACTACTACTACTACTACTACTACTACTACTACTAGCCGCCCCCCCCCCCTCCCCTACCAACTATGTTCCCTTAAATGTCAGGCATGGACTGTCAAGAGCCCAAGCGGAAGAGGGTTGGTGTGGAACGTGCGTCACCCACGCAAAATCATCAAACATGCTGTAAATGCCAATAGTTTTTGCATGTGCGCTCTTCAAATTGACGTCACTATGCCCAACCGGCCCCCTCCCCCCT